TTGTTGGATGACTCACTATTTACTACTTAGTTATCTCTAGTTTTACGAAATGTGCAAAAACAGCTTATATAATTGCTAAGGTCAAAATCAACCCTAAGTCACAGGGTTCGGAGTGACCCTCTCCTCATTTTATCGTTAACATATACATATATACTCTCCGACTTCCAAAACACCTCAGTTTTGGAATCTGGAATCCGTACGAACTATAGTTAGCTTGAATTCCTCATCTTTGTATATAATTCCGTTATTGGAAATATAGAAATACGTCGTCAACACCCGAGCTTATTTTCCATACGAATCCTGAATACAACATTATACGTTTTCATTTCTATTTTTCTTAATCATATTCATGAAAAACATAATAAAAAAAAACATATACTGAAATGAACTTCTCTACATTATCAATAGCAGTTTTATTTAAATAGGTGCGCAGGAGGGAAGAATTTGTCTTATCTAGACTACTTTTACGGTCCGGATCTTATCAAGAGGATAACAGTCACACAGAATTGGTTAGTACCGTATCGGTCGATTTGTCGAAAGCAATATTTTAGCACTTGCTGGCCCAATCAATTTGAAAAAAAAATGAAGAAACCTTTGTTACTTTACACTTGTTACATTACGATCTTTATTGTGATCATGATGGTCCTAATGATGGATAGAAGTTACAATCAACGCGTACCACTTTTTGTGACATCCGGTGATGCTAACAAGACCGGTAGGCTTCTGAACTTCGAACCGGAAGTAGGTATGTATGTCTAATTAAACTCTATTAATCTGACTAGGCATCGCAAATAAACGTGTCACATTACGTATGATTAAGAAAATTTTGTAGACTGTTCTCCTATTGCTTTATCACTTTGAAACGCGCATTCATGATATAACATGATACAGAATGTAGTCAGACGCATAATGCAAAGATATTATGTAACTTTACAATAGTCAACTATATACAGTATTTGTACGATATTGGAACATAACACGTATAAATTCTGATTATTGACAGACAAGCCTCTATCGGACAAGAACATTTTCTTTATCGAAACATCGGGTATTACGAAAGGAGATTTAATGCTGAAAAGTCGTCAAGGCTGTGCGGTCGAGTCTGCCGCTAGAATGAATCCAAATATGACCGTGTACCTGCTGCTCGTCTCCCGTTCGAAGGTTCCGAATCAATCGACGAAGTTCTTTGATCAGCTGGAAAGCTATCCGAATGTTCGAATTAGATGCGTCTATTTAGACAAATACATGGAAAACACGCCGCTGGAAAAGTGGTACAAAAGAGGCGTGTGGAAGGAGAGTCAATGGCCTATATCACACATGTCCGATGTCCTTAGGTATCTGACGCTGTGGAAGTACGGAGGAATATACTTGGACTTAGACGTCGTTGTCACAAAGTAAGCCCAATACCAATCTTCTTTAAACGTAATGTGCTAGGAACAATATTAAGTTAAACTCAGATATGCTTCGGAATCCTAGTCAACCTAGTTGTTTCATGTTGCATTTAAATGACGTTCGCTTGTTAAAAGAGAACGTATTAAATGTTAATGAAAATTGTTTCTCGTCAGGTCTCTCGAAGATT